ATTTACAAAATATTTCTGGAAAAATTATATCATAGTAAAATTATATTTGTGTAATAAAATCAGTAATCATCTACTATCACGAATAATTCGTTAACGCTATAATGAAGATTCTTATAATGAAGTCCTGATCGGCTGGATCAGTAACTTCGTTATATTGAGGTGTGACTGTATACCAATAAAATTTTATTTACTCACTATACTTGAAGTCATATAAATATCGGTATAATTTGATATAACGATATTTTTAAAAAAAATTTCTATATGTTCCAACATATCGTTATATAGAGGTTTGACTATACTATAATCAGAAGGATACTTTGATGTGAGGGGTACAATACATGGCAAAAAAGTCTTAACTATATATAGGTAACAAGTTAATAGATGTGACGAGATAATTTTTTATTTAACTATGATGATAATTGGTAATAAACGTCATAAGCATGCTAGAGTTACTAAAAAACTTTGACAATAATAGTATTCTTGCGAAAAACTTATGATATTACATTATACACAAAGAGTTCAAAGTAAAAAAGCTGCTGCAAAAAGGTTTGATATTAAACCAAAGCAAATAAGGGATTGAGAAAAAAAAGTGAGCAACTTATGACTTCAGCTCTATATATTAAAAAGTTACATTCAGGAAGGTCTTCAAGTTTACCTGAGTTAGAAGTACCATTATTTCAATGGATTTAGGATTTAAGGTAAGAATATAAAGCTGTAATTCGTAATATGGTTGTGAAAAAAGCAAAAAAACTAGCAGAAACTGATGAAATGAAACAATTTTATCCAACATTCAAAATTTTAAATTTTTTAACAAGTGGTTAGATAGTTTTATTGGTAGAAATAACTTATTTAATAGAAGAACAACAAGTATTTTCCAAAAATTACCAGAAGATTTAATTGAACAACAGCATTCATTTTTGAGTTTTATTCTTTATAGGCGTATACAATATGATTATCCTTTCAAATTAATTGCTAATTTTGATGAAACTTCTCTCAGCTTTGATTTACCATCTTCAATAACATTAGAATCAAAGTGATCTAAAACTGTTAGTATTAGGTCAACTGGTCATGAAAAAAATTGTTTTACAATAGTTTTGGCATGTATGGCAGATGGTACTAAATTAGAATCTGTAATTATTTTCAAATTAAAATATTCCTTGTGAAATCTTTCCTGATAGAGTTAAAATTCGTATTAATGAAAAAGGGTTGGGTTAATGAGGAAGAAATGCTTTGGTGGATTAAAAATGTGTGGTATAATAGGGAAGGTACAAATAACAATCCAAAAAGTCTTTTGTTATTTGATTCTTTTCGTGATCATTTGATTAATGAATGGATGTCTGAAGAAGTTCATAAACTTACTCCTGCTAGAAGAATTAAAAGGCTTGCTTATAATAAAGTAGCACAATAGGTTAAGGTTGCTTGGAATAGCATGAATGTTGAAAAAATCAAAAAATCCTTCAAATGTTATGGTATTTCTATAGTAAAAGATGGTACAGAAGATGATTTTATTTTTGATTATGATTTTCTAAATGATGAAAATGATAATCTATGTGATGATGTGGTGTTTGAAAATACCATATATGATGATTTTGTTGCTGGTTATAAAAATACTTGGAATTAATTAACATTAATTTAGATAATGTAAATGTTTGAAAAAAAATAACTTGCACTTTATTAGTAATAATAAAAACTATTTTTTATATTTGATAAATATTTATCATATTTTATATTAATAAAATTTAAAAAATTTATACATTTATTAACATTAACACGCGGTATTGTATGTATATCAATATTAGGTTATAGTACCCAGGTACTTTACATGAAGGTTTGACATTCATGATGTATAGTGCCCAGGTACTTTACATTCTAAGCTGCTCTAAAAGAAGGCATTATACACAGGGGTACTATAAAACACACTTTACAGTAATCCTTCGCTAACGCTCTGGACTAATTAAAATGTTTTTTTTAATAATTTAAACTATTTTTTTTAAAAAAAAATTATAAATACTGTAATTTAAATAATTATTATATATAATAAATATTATAGATTCATTTTTAAATTTTAAATTTTATTAATCATTTATAAAAATTATCATTTTAATAATAAGGATTTTTTACATAGGCTGTTCATATATGTTCAGAAACATTCATTATACATGTACCGTTTGACACTCTTACAGCTAATTTCATAATTTGTGGATCACTAATAAATTGCGACTGAATGTGACTGAAAATATTTTATAATAAAAATACTATAAAATTTTGCGACTGAATGCGACTGAAAATTATTAATGGTCCATGAATTATGAAATTAGCTGTAATTACAAAAATATTGGGCATTTCTGATTGATCATAACTCTTCACTAGAATAGGAAGAATGTTAGATAGATAATAAAATTTTTTGAATTGTCTGCCTAATTGATGGTGATGGTTTATTTAGGATGGAGTAAACATTTAGGAGTGTTTCTATGATGGTAACTCTTTCATTGGTGAATTTGAGATCATCATGCAGTTGTCCAAGTTAGCTGGTAACTGCATCTAATTTCATCATGAGTTGGTTTAATTTGTTAGAGTCACTGTTATTTAAACTTATAATTTTCAATTAATTTATAATGCAAAATTTTATATACATGTAATAATTTTAATAATTAGTTTGAATACATTATAAATTATTATAAATTATTATTTTTCACTTTTATAATTAATTTTATGATAACAATGTTATTTTTAATAATAAATTATAATTTATAATATATAAATTAATTTTTTATATTATAAATATTAAAGATAATGGTTAATTTAAAACAAGCAGTACATAATTTACGCACATGATTTTTTTTTTTTAAATTTTAATGTACACAACCAATTTTGAGCACCAAAAAAAAAAAACTTTATGTGCACATGTGCACATGTGAACTTATTTCAAATTTTATACGCTGCTTACAACTTAAATAAAGCTGATTTTTTTATGTACCTATTTTATAGATTTACAGCTAATTTCATAATTCGTGGACCACTAATAAATTGCGACTGAATGCGACTGAAAATATTATTAATGGTCCATGAATTATGAAATTAGCTGTAAAAAGAATGAATGTAAGATAAATGGTAAGATAAATGTTAATATACTAATATCCATTAAAAATAAGATTTTATCAGAAATCTTTGTTTTCATTATTTTTAAGGCCTTTTGCATATCTAGTGACTAATTACATCTCGTGTGACGATCTCATCTCAAATCAAATACAGAAATATATAAAGACGGGATATTTCTCTCTCTTCTACACACATTTAATATAAAGTCATGCCACTCCAGCAAATAGTTCTTCATCCAACCGTTAATAATTCTATAAAGTATGCCTCCACGACGGTTGGTCGTGATAAAGTTTATAAGGCCGTCCAATTCTTTTCACGCTTTTTGGTTTGGTATTTTAAACGTCAGGGTTATGATAAAACGACAATTCAACGGTACAACAATTTGAAAAGCACATTAGGAATTTCACGAAAACGTATGTTTAAACCTTTTAGTTTGATCCATAATTCACAGGTTTATTAAATCTTTTAATTTAAAATCAAAAAGTTATGAGGTTTGGGAAGCCAGTTGAACATTTACAGCATGCCACAAAAGCACTTAATGAAGTTGACGAAATCACGAAGTTTACTACTATAGCACAACAGCTTGGTTATGCTACATATCTATTTTGGGATACCTTTGTCTGGGTAAGTTAATTAAATAGAGTTAAGTTTTATTATTTATTTTCTTTTATAATTTTATTTTCATATATTATTATAATTTCTTAATATAGGCTCATAACGCTGGCGTATACAAGTTTCAACAAATTAAAAGAATAAATGAAAACGCTCATAGATTTTGGTTTATTGGACTTGTATTCTCAATTATTCACGGCTTATATAAATTATATCTAAATGGTTATCAACATAATTTTATGAGGCAAGTAAGTAAAGCCAGATTTGCTGAATCTAGCGAAAAGTCAAACGTCAGATCGGAAGCTGAATCACTTATGAAGTAGGAAATTTCTTCTCATTTTTACCATATTTTTTTTTCTTTTGCAATTGTTTTCGTCTTTTGAGTTTATTCACGAAATTGTTTTTTTTTCAAAACAGGGAACGCAAAGCTGTTATCATACAACTCGTTCAAGATGTACTCGATATAACTATCCCAGCTACAGCGCTTGGATATTTACATCTTGAAGATGGGTTGGTTGGTCTTGCTGGGTTCATTAGTTCTATTATGGGTATTCAATCACAATGGAAAAAAGTCAATAGTACAAAATAAATTATACAGTTATTGGTTTTTCAAAAACTCTGTTAGTATATAGCATTTTTATTTATTTTATGGTCACTAAAATATATATATGATTTTGACAATTATATTTTTTTTATTCCTATTATTGTAAAAAAAAATTAGTAAATCATGTGACAAGATTAAATTAACTGCATATCAATTGGACACGCGTTTTAGATCAAAAAAAAAAAAAAGAAATTACGTTAGTTTAGTAGCACAGCAGGTTTTTTTGCAGCCAATTAAGATTATTGTTCTAAGATATATACCCATGCTAAAAGGGTAATAATTATGATGTGTTACCAAACTGATCAAATCCCATCGATTCACGTGACTTTTAATCTCAAAAAAAAATTTTTTTTTTTAAAAAAAATAAACACCTATAAAAGGAGGGCTGAAAAAAAAAAAGATTCGACTAAACATATCTTTTAAAGAAATGATAATAAGCAACATTACAATGTCTGAACAAGTAGCTCAAGAACAACCTTCCGCGATAAGAGAACGTTATTTAAATAATATAAACGGGACCGGTAACGGTAATTTTCAGTCACAGCTAGATAGTACTCAGCAAAGCCTAACCCCACCCTCTAGCCCAAAGAGACCGAATTACCAACTTAAATATAGTATGGTAGGACACAAGAAAGCAGTGTCGAGTGTTAAATTTTCTCCTGATGGAAAGTGGTTAGCTAGTGCTTGTAAGTTTTTTTCAAATTAATCAAAAATTTTATTGATTCACTTTGCATTACGAAAAGAGGGCTCAAATTTAATCAAAGTGAACAAATAAGGGTTCCTCTTTAAATAATCTCCATGCTTTGTTTTCTTTTGTTACCTTTTTAATAGCTGCTGATAAAACAATAAAAATTTGGAATGCCCTTGATGGTAAATACGAAAAAACCTTTGAAGGACATAAGCTAGGTATATCGGACGTTGCCTGGTCTGTTGACTCAATGTCTTTGTGCTCTGGTTCTGATGATACTACAATACGAATCTGGCACTTGAATAAGGTAAATATCATAATTTATAAGGATACTTGCATTGCACGTTTCACTTTATTGGATATTGTAATATAAAATTTTCCTATTTCTTCCTTCCTTGCTTTGATCAGAACCCAGCCGTTAAGGTTCTCAAAGGTCACACGAATTATGTTTTCTGCGTAAATTATAATCCCCAATCGAGTTTAATCGTCTCAGGATCGTTTGATGAAAGTGTTAGAATCTGGGACGCCAAAAACGGTAAGTTAACTTTGACGTGACCATCATCTCGTGATTACAACTTTTAATATGCTAATGAATCATAAATCATTTTATCTTACATAGGTAAATGTTTAAAGACTTTACCTGCTCATTCTGATCCTGTTTCTGCTGTACATTTTAACAGAGATGGTACGATGATTGTGTCATGTAGCTATGATGGCTTAATGTAAGTCATTCAAAAGATTGTCCCCATTTATGTAATTTCAAAACTACAATTTCATTTCCAATTTTTTTAATTTAGTCGCATCTGGGACACTGCAACGGGCCAATGTTTGAAAACTTTGGTTGATGATGATAACCCTCCAGTGTAAGCAACCTGAACCCATTTCAAGTTTTAGAATTGCTTTTCGTTTGTTCAAGAATTATTTTTTTTTTGTTTTCAGATCCTTTGTGAAATTTTCACCTAATGGCAAATACATTCTTGCTTCAACACTTGACAATACATTACGTCTTTGGAATTTTCATACTGGAAAATGTTTAAAAACATACACCGGTCATATTAACAATAAATACTGCGTTTTCTCGAGTTTCTCAGTTACAGGCGGAAAATGGATTGTTAGTGGAAGTGAAGATAATAGTATTTATATTTGGAATTTGCAAAGTAAAGAAATAGTGCAAAAATTGGAAGGTCATAGCGGTAATTATTGAATTCGATATTTGAATCAATTATCAATCATTTTTAGTAATTCATATACATTGCGCCTTTTCTAGATGTTGTTCTTACGATCGCATGCCATCCTACAAAAAATATAATCGCATCCGGATCAATTGATAATGATAGATCCGTAAGATTATGGTTTGATTCTTCATAAAATAAAAAAAAATAGTGCTGTTCCTTTTTCTTTTATTTTTAAAACTTAGATTTATGACCGGTATTATACCGACAAAAGTAGTATTTTTTTTATGGAGTATCACCCTAAATTAAGGGTGTCCTTAATTAGATTCTTTCGTAAAATATTTGTAATCAAGTTTTCGTTACCCCCTATTTTTTCCTGCTTTAAATGCTATGGAATCAAAAAAAAAAGAAAAAAAATTTTTTTCAAAAAATTAAAAAAGTAAAATTGCATTATCAATTTAAAACAATCATTTTAGTCATGTGATACATATCTTACACGAGTTTGTGCAACTTGTCGCGATCTTTATTATGTCCCGTTTTACGATAACTGCAAAGCAAATTTTGAAATTACTTCCTTACCATCTTTTCAATGACAATTATAGAACAACTTGAGATAATCAAACAACTCGTATTAAAAGAACGTAAAATCGTTACTTATGAGTGGTTAAGCAAATACCTTAATATTCATGTTAATGAGGCAAAGCCACTCCTTTATAAGTTTATTTCGAAATATGGGCCTTCTAACAAAGAAAGTTTTTACACTGTTTATTGCATTTCTGGTATCGCCACGATTAATGAGCAACATACCGTGACTTTAATATACCAGGATAATTTAGAAAATATACGAAAAGACTTTAGCAAAATTTCAAGTTTACACGTTTACAGTGTACAACCAGAGTGTCCTACTGAAGCCGAGTTAGTCAAAGCAAATCAAGGATCCATCGATAAAGTTTCTACTGAACCTGCTTTACCTTCAAATACGAAACGAGACGACTATTCAAATGAGAAAAAGTCTTCAAATAATTTTATCAAGCCTGATGAAAAGGAGTCAGTAAAAGTCAAACCTACACGCCCTGAAACATCAAAGTCAATTAAAAGCGCGTTTTCAAAAGAGAAGCAATTGATCAATAAACAAACCGATGATAAAACTTCCGATATCAGTTCACTTATATGTAAAACTTCTCATGATGTTGATACTTCAAAATTTGAACGGGAAGATAAGCAGTCAGAAGGGAAGCAACTTGTTAACCAACAAAAGAGTGATAAAACTGAAGATATTTTTTCTAGGGATGAATCAAAGACTTCAAATAAAAAATCAAAGAAGAGGAAGAGTGATGAATGTGAAAGTAATCTTGATGAGGCTTCAAAAGAAGAACGGGTAAATAACAAACAAAAGAGCTGTAAGGAGAATAAAGTAACGAATAAAAATAAAATCGCAAAGAGTAGGAAGAAGAATAAGGTTGCAGATGATCTTGACCTTCAAAATGTTACTGAGGAATTTATGACCATCGATATTGCCGAGAAAGATCAGCCACAGGAAAAACAATCGGTTGCGTCGGCTAGTCCTGATCAACAAAATGTTCTTCCAACAAAGAAAAGAGGAAGACGTCAAACGTTGAAGTTTAGATCATATGTGAACGAAAAAGGGTATACGGTACGTGAAAATTATCACGAATGGGAGTCATTTTCAGAAGATGAAACTGTTTCAGAACCTCCTGCAAAGAAATCACAAAAGGTAATTAAGGCGCAGGAACCTAACGTCGTCGCTAAACGCAGTAAGAAGAAGAAAGGAGACGACGGTTCCCAAAAAAGCTTATTGAGTTTTTTTGGGAAAAAATAATTAAATTTATTTTGCACCTTTGTAAAGAATTATATATAGCATGTGGTCTTTTTATTTCAACTTATAATTGATTCTTGAATGGCAAAATTACCGGCATTTTTTTATCCTTTGGCACTAATTATTTGCATATATGTTTTAGTATAGATATGATGTAGATAATATTGTACAAACAACTTTTGTGGTTACATAGATTAAAAAACCGAAAAAGTATCGAGATATTAATTATTTCTGAACGGCAAACCTTTTGATTTCACAACCTTATGCCTTTTGAGTTTGATCTACTTGAGATTACTTGCTTTTGTATCTTTTTATATAATAATGTATCAATATTCTATTAGGAAAACTTCAATAGAACTAATCTTGTGATTAAAACCATCCCACCAAATCACCCTTTTTGAAGATTGTAATCATCAAGCAAACGGTATTCTTTGCATATGATTTCTTCTGTCCTTGAACTTAATTTTCATAAGCAACTGTAAAGATTATTTTAATATACGTAATATGAATTCAATTGCATACCAATCATTTAATATGCATTCAAACAGTAATATTGACATACATAGTTATTAAGGAAAAGATGATGTATGCGAAGGCTCTTTACTCCAATGTATTTTTGTAAACGTTTTCTGTTATAGATGGTTACTTTAACAATTTCTGCAATCATTCCCCTTAATTTCTTACACATGTCATCCTTTGCCACGGGCTTTGTTGTATATATTTAGAAAAAAAATAATGTGGCATTAAAAGGTAGGTTTCCTTTAACTCTCCTTTCAGAGACGTAATCGGAATATATATATTGTACTAAAATTTTAATATGCATTAAACAAATCAAAAAGAATATATAAAATAAATAAAGAAACTTACAACTGATTTAATTTGTATTTATCACATGATTTATACTTTACTTTTAAAAAAGAGAAAATATCTTCTTGCTTTTAATCCTTCGTACTTTGTCAAAACTGTTTGTGGCACATGTGCAGATCTTTTCCAAATGTATAAATTAAATTAATCAACTAAACGTCAAATTAATCTTTAATTTTTGGTAAAGAATTAATACTCAAACAAACCAATTATAATAAGCCTAAACATCATGAACGATAACGATAACGAATTACAAATAATGAGAGATCAACTTCAGAATCTCAAAGGGACATTAGCAGACCTTAATGAGGTACCACAATCGGATTCGAAAGCATTACTCGATAATGTTTCTGGGAATCTTGAAGAAGTTCAAGACACTTCAATAGGAAGGTCGTTTCGAGTAGGTTGGGGACCTAACGGAAGATTTGTTCGTCGTTCAAAAAAAAATGTGCGGCCTATTTACACCTCTTTCATTCCACGAATGTCAAGAATATCTAGAGCGTCACAAAGAGATATTGTTAAATTTCATCAAGTTTTGATCGTATCTGAAGAAGATATGCATACCAAAGAACGTATTAATAAATCGTTGGAATTGATCTTTGAACGAACAACATTTGATCAAGAAGATGAAACTCCTTATGTCAACGAAACAGGTTTAACTTTCATGGACTTAATATCAAATTTTGACACAAAAACAATCGATGAACATGAAAATTTAACTTGGAAACTTTGTCATGCTTTATGGGATGATATTCAGCTTTTAAATGAACATTATGATAAGGAAATCAAAGATTATAGAAAGGCTAGAATATCAAAATGGTTTCAAATAACCAACGAACTAAGGATGGCAGATCATTTAAAATTGTCGGGATACAGCGATGATAATACGGATTTGATCTTTGCTTACCTGACTAGCAAACAAATATCAAAAGCTTCATTAACAGCCATTAAAAACCGTGACTTCCATTTGGCATCATTAATATCGCAATTATATGGCAATGATTATGTAAAGGAGTGTATGAAAAATCAGCTTGATCATTGGAAGGAGACTGGAATAAGTAATCTCGTTTCACCAAATTATTCAAAGTTTTTCGAATTATTATCTGGGAATGTCTTTGTTACAACGAAAGGTCTTGATTGGAGGACGACCATTAGTATGCATATGTGGTATGGTTGTAGCCTTAATGATCCTTTTGATGAAGCCTTAGCCTCTTATGAAAAGGCTAGAAAAGCTTCAGAAGATATTACAAAACCATTTGTATGGTATAATCAACCTTTTTCGGTTGATGATAATGATCATTGGGCTTATTTGGATTCGGATAAACAAATCTTTGACCTTCATTATCATCTTATGAAACTTTCAATGGATGCTACTTATTCCCTTGAAGATGCTTTACTTCCTCGAGCTAATCATGTTGCACCACTTGATTACCGCGTTACTTGGATTTTGCATTATATGATCGCGCGTGTTTTACGTATACGCGACTTTAGCAGTGATGGAGTCACAGTTGACCAAATCACTTTGAAGTTCATCTTTGAGTTGGAAACTTTGGGTATTTGGCAATGGGCTGTTTTTATTGCCATGTTTATTAATGAATCAGATGTTCGTAAAAATGTATTAAATGAATTATTAAATAGATATGTACATCAAATCCCCAAAGAAAAGGTGGAAAACTTTCGGAATTTTGCAATCAAAACAATGAGACTTAAAGAGGAATGGTTTTCCGAAGCTCAGGAAATATTTTCAAAATATAAAGAAGTACCCGGTCGAAAAAGAAAGTTTAGTTTTTAAATTTTTTACTATTGATTAAGTTTGTTCTGTATGACAAGTTATCAAGATTTTTTATATTTTGATGAGATTTTAAATTTTCTGATAATAAATTTAAGAATCTTATTAACATAACTAATACTTAGAGACTCAAATAGAAAGTTATAAAAATCATTTGTATAACTAATCAAATTAAAAATTAAAAAATGAATAGATTAATTATAATCTGTAATAATGAATTTTTGCTATAAATGAAAGAATAATCCAAGAAAAAAAATCTGTCAGACCACTTTTGGTTACAGTAATTTTTTTCAAAATATGTATTTATAAATAGATTTCACTATATTGTGATAATATAGAGGTATTTTTTTATTAATTCATCATAATTGGTTTTAATAAAAAGATTTTTATATGATGTGATTATATTATAGACAGGTCTAATTGTATTAATTATTATCAAAGTGTTTATTCCTTGGTTTTTATTTATTAAAAAATATATTTATTTCTTCAATGCTTTTATAAACAATTTGATGTTTTTTAAATATAATAAGATCAATTGCAAACTAAATGAACAAAATAATTGTATTCCACATATCTAATGATACAATATTTAGATTTCAAGCATCAATAAATCAAAATTATATTATTTTAAAATTTTTAAAACAATTTATTATCTAATAATATAATTTAAATAATTAGATTATTTTATAATAATTCATTAATTATTTATTCTTAAAAAGTTATTAACTAATAGCAATTCTTTTTGATTTTACTTAGAAATATCATAAAAATTTATTTATAAAAATTATAAAAATATTAATATTTAATAAATATTTTAAAAAATAATTTAAAATAATTTTAACTCAAAAGTAAAATTACCTCTAAATTTTATAAGCAAAACCATTAAAGGGAATGTAATTTATATATATTAAAAAGGTATTTATTCAATTATATTATTTATGATTTTATAAAAAGATTTATTAATAATATAATTTAAAATCTTTCAAATTAGTAAAGTCAGTTTTTTTATAAAAGAAATTTATATATTAAATTAAATAAACAAAAAAAAACTTTTTTAATATCATTTTTTCCAACTTTTATAAAAATTATAACCTTTTTAATTTTAATTATATATTATAAAAAAATATAAATAAAAAAAATGTAAAAAATATAAATTTATAATGAAAATTTAATTTATTAGTCCTAAATAAAGTGAAAAATTACCATAAATTATGTAATAGTTATTTACCATAATATCGGTGATTGAGCAGTAAATAACTAATATATTTTATAGTTACTAATGTTTATGATAAAAAATGATTTCAAAATAAATATATGGGGTGAGTGTTAGGAAAATGGACCAAATTGATTTTTTTTTTAAAAAAAAGTTTTTAAGTAAAATAGATGTAGATTAGGTCATCTGATTCAGATTATTTGTTATTTCAAAAAAAAATTTTTGTCGATTTGGTCTCTTTTCTCAGCATTCACCTCATATTATATATTACTAACTTTATTAATAAATAAACTTTTAAAAATTAAAATAAAATAAACAATTATAACTGTCTGTTAGCTTTTAAATAATATTTACAATCCAAAATCAAAGTATTATTGAACTAGAAAAAGCAATTTCAATTATCAAAAAAAAATTAAACTGCTTAATATACAGAAAAAGTAATGAAAAATAGCTAAAACATTTTGAAAATTTTTGAAAAAATATAACTGATTTTTATCTATAAGAAGAGATATAAAATTTGATTACATTTATTTCAGACTTATTATATTAGAAAATCAAGACTAAAAAAAGAGTAACTGAATATATATATCAATATAAATAATTTAATGAATGTCATTATCAAAATGACTTATTATTTTAATAATTATTTTAACACTATGCAATATTAAATAAATTCATTGATAAATAATTTTCAGTATAATTTTTAAATAATATATCCCAGAAATGATGAAATATTGATATTTTCCTAGAAAATTCAACTTCAATAATAAATCCAGTAAAATATCGATATACAATAACATAGGCAAATGATTAGTAAACAGAAAATATGCTTTATTATACTGTATTTTCATTCTACAAAATTTTAAGAATATTATAATTAACAATATAATAGAAATACAATACATTATAATAAAATCTTAATTTTATTTAGATAATAAATTAATAGATGTGATATAATAATTATTTTTTAAATTTACTTATAGTAATAATTAATAATAATTATCATAAACATGCTAGAGTTACTAAAATACTTTGATAATAATGCTGTTCTTATAAAAACTTATAATATTATATTATACATAAAGGATTCAAAATAAAAAACTATTGTAAAAAGTGTTAATATTGAATCAAAATAAA